GTCCAGCTAAGTCTCCTCAACAACAATGAGGTCAACCCACTTCTATAATTAAGGGTGTTGCTATTTTTTAGAAATGGTAGACAAATGTCAATTTGTAAATGTTCAAACATTTAATATAAAGGAAAACGATATCTAAAATGTAAGATGCCGATAAACTTTAGAGGCTAAATCTAAGTTTGACTTTACTCACTGCAATCGCCTTCTCCTTACTTATATCTGTCCTTCCAGATCCACTTCCTAGCGATGTGTTCTCCTGCTGTTAAACATATCTCCTTTGTACAAGCGTTTTCTTTCAGCTGCCCTTTTATAATTCCGAATTGCATTAGATCTACCCAGGCCGTAGGCGAACTTTTCGCTGAATTCTCTATCTTCCAATCCCTTGACGATCAGGTTTCTTTAGAAGAGGATGCTCATGAGTTCGCTGATTTTACTTTTACTTGCGTTATTCCCATATGAGGCTAGTTCTTTTATTTTAGTCCAGTCAATCGTGAGGCCAATCTGGACAACGTGCTCAGCTATATGTGATGTTTCTGTATCTGCTCTTATACAGAGTGGCTAGTGTTTCTTAATCCTAGCAATACTTGTCCTTTCCGTCTCGCCGATGTACTTTTGTTTAAATCCCTTACAGTTTATATAATTAACTTCAGACACCTACATTTTGTTGACTTTTTATTTTGTGTGAACAAGCTAGTAAAAAATGTTGTATTTTCGTTCAGGTTTGTACCAATTTTCCATTTCATTAGTGGCGGCAACAGAAGGGTAGATATATAAATCCCTTTCCCCCATCTCCCTTCATTTAATTTCATAAAAGCGACCCTGCAATCTACTCATCACGACTTGTATGTTTCGTTTTATTACTTTTTTGGATATCCCTTCCAAAAAAAATCCAGATTAGGTCTTCATGTTCATTTCCCCAAAAATCAAGATTGGTTAATCATATGCTTCTTGTGATCATACACCTGAGTATAACAACCTTCCCTCTAATTATGGGGAGATCGGAAATTAAGGCTCATTCCTTCATTTCTTTTTGAAGAGCCGCTTCCAAAGGAGTTACCTCTACACACAATAAAGGTAAGTGTTCGTAAATAAGTAAATCAGATTTACTGGTAGTCCCGAAAACTTACTCACTTATAAAAAAGGTAATATCGTGAAATGCTAAAGCAAGTATAAATTTGCTTCATCGACGATCCTAACACGGAAATTAATATAAAAAATGCTTGACATTCCTTGAAGAGCACATCTGCCCTGTTGCCCAAGGGCACTCGTGGTAATGTAGCGCAACGACGCATTGTCATGGTTCGACCTATGCGAGGTCGAAACTGCAGTCCACCCAGGTTGAGAACACCTTTTAAGAAAGCAAGACTGCGTGAAATTCATTGGTAACGTCAGCTCTACTCATATAATTGTGTGAAAATTGAACTACCAGTCCTTCCTCACATTAAGCGAAATAGAGTGAACACAACTTATATATATGATTTACTGGTGATCTCAAAAATCTACTCATTTACGAAAACAAGTTTTCTGTTGGTTTAAAGATGGGATAATTATTTAGAACAGGAAAAGTTCAGTTGAATGTAGGAATATTTAAGGATTGCATATAAGTATTCATAGTCTATTTAGCATGCTAATATCTTGGAGACCAAGATATAGTCTAACTGACCCAATGTCCGTTTTATTTGATCTCCCTTAGCTATTTTTCAGGAAGTAGAAAAACATAAAGGCATAAATTGATAAAGAACTTGACAATTTATAATGTAATAAACTACAACATTTTGAGTAAATAGAAGTTTGCCATACATGGCAATATTTGAAGAAGCACCAATTATTTGTCTTAATATGTATGTCAAACTTCACAATTTAAGGCGCCACTCCTTCCTCATGTTTTTTTAAAGTGCGTAAATACATATGAAGGCGTTGTTCTTAGTTGAAATTTGATAGGACCTAGGCCTAGTTTATAAAAAACCCAAATAAGTTACACTCTTTTGAATTTATAACCGCAATTGAAATCATGTTTTACTTATTATCTTATTTGAAGCGATATTGACTTGAAAGAAGTGCGTCGATTTCGGGAATCAAGTCTTTATAGTCATATGACTGGATTGTATACACGGGAGTCTGAACACCATCAATATCAATCTGGGAAAGAGGAAGTGGATGAAGTGTTGGCAAGGGGGGGGAGAAAGGGATGAGACTTACTAGATTGGAGTACATTGCAGGATCTAAAGAATTCGGTGGATCAAATTGCATCTGACTTACTGGCGAGCTAAAGTGATTAGGAACATACGAGGGAAAATTGATCTTTTCTGTCGATCGAGATAGCTGTTGTGGTGCCACTAGCGAATTAGGTAATGTTGTAATTTTTGAAGGTAAATGAGGTTGCGACTGGGGTGTATGAAGCGGCATGTTGGATGGAAGCTGCCTTGCCTGGGTTTTCAACTCTGTAAGCGAAGGCTGCCAATCTACAAGGGCCATTGTTTTCCGATTTGATGGAGTAACTAATGGTATAATTCCATTAGGAATTCGTGCAGGAGACAATGAAGGTGGGGTACTAGTTTTCAGTACATGTGCCGGTGAAGATGAATACGTCTGTAGGGGGGTATTTGATTCAAAGTTGGACGCATGAGCTACAGTCCGTATAAGTGAAGATGGTGCTGGCTGGGTCATTGATTGCAGAGTTAGTGGTGGTGGATGTGAGGGCGCCTTTGGCAGTAAAGATTGAATTTTGGGTCTTGTCGGGAAAGTTGAGCCTGCAGCAAATGGTTCCTCAAAAATAGTAAATGCCTCGAGCAGGTCAGTTGCCTTTTCTTCTCGTTGGGCCTTTTTGAAAGAATTCTCAGTAAATGAATGCTCATGAAGAGAGGCGTTAGTTTTAGGTGAAGTTGCTTCATTTGGAGTTACCGGGAGTCCAGTGACCTATATAAGAAAAAAATAACATACAAGACGATTTTTTTAATTAAAAGCCTAGTAAGACTTTTTATAGTTGATACTTGATAATCTGAAGCAAATTATTATCTAGATCACTCAGTCTTGAAAGACTCTTTATAGCTATTACGACCACTAGTCACATTAAGGTGGGCAAGCTAATTAATTATTAATTATACCAGTAAGCACGTGGGCTTAATTAGAAGAATGAATAATCTGACAATGTGAGGAGGTTTACGGTTGCCTTACGTATATAAACATTCTAATATAAAAAATTATTGTTGCCATGTTAGTAACATTTAAGTTAAACAAAGGCCAGACCGAAATATTATTTTAACAACATTCCTGCTATGATGCTTAGCCAAACTTTTTTTGACTTGATTTTTTTCATGAATATTTATCAGAAGGAGTAAGTAGCTGGGATATTTTAATCGACGTAGGCTAGCAGTCTCTGATCAAATTCGAGAGTGGAATCAAGAAAAGAAGTAATGTTAACAAAAAAATTTGGTTCTTAAGCAAGCTGTTTCTGAGGCAATTTATGCGTTATTCCTATCAGCCTGAGACTCAAATCTTTTTCAAAGAGAGCATACTCACAGCACATCAATAAAAAGGATCCATCTCATGCAAAAAAGAAGTACAGATTAAGTCGTTGACAGATAGATGTACTTTGGCTATACATTTATATGGGGAACAGTTTCGTGGCCCTTATGGCCTTTGACATATTTATACATGACAAGACCAAATGATAAACTAGGGGTAGGAAGAAGTTTATTAAGAAGCTGTATAGATTCAGAAGTTGTCTAAACTCGTTTTTGCAAATTGCTTATTTTGTCAAGGCAACATAGTTGGAAGCACCTTATCCGAAGTATTTTGCTATATTAGTTATCAAGCTTCTCAGCGTTGGACCGCGGACTTAGTATAAACACATATATTTCGCCAGCATCTAAGTCGACATCGTCAATAAGTCTTGCCATGCTCAAAACCATGCTACAAGTCATCAAAGAGACAACTGAAGTCAATTCTTTGACCAACTTTCTGCCCAATGGTTGTGTCATCATTTCTCTTCTGTCATGGCGCATCTACCTACTCCCTACCCTCTTATCTAACTTCATCCCTACTAACTTGTTTATATTTTATTCTTTGTCTCTTAGGTGCTTTAGCTTGGTGCTGAGAATGGCAAGACATGCTGACGATGCCAACCACAATGACGGATGTTAAAAGAGATCGCAAAGTGATGTCACGACGCTTTAGAGGAGTCATAAAAAATTCCTTTCAGATGTGAAATAGGTTCAGTCAAAACCTCTCTTCTTGATGCAAAACAACGCAAACTTGACGTAACAATAGATGGAATGCTATGGCCTAATTTTATCACTGTACAAGCAAAATCCTTATACTATCATTGGTCCAATTGGACTTGTCTATGAGACAGGTGAGAGGAGCAAATAAGCAACCTACATAAGTATAGCATGCAGAGTGGATGAACGTGGTGAACATCAACTTTTCTGGTATGTTGGTAAGGGATCCTTGGTGCCCAGAGTGTCAAGCATCGGGAATCTCTACAGTCGGTCCATTGAGGAAAGCCTTTACTAAAAAGTGTGGAGATATGGCCCTGATATAGGGCACGATGAAGGAGAAACTGATAGTGGTTATCGTCCCGAAGGTATTGGTTCGGTGGAAGAATCGATTCAACCAAGACTGCTTCGCACTAAATACTTCGAGGACTAAAAATTTCAGCTCATGATTATTATCGGACGGTCGAATTGACTTTGAGTGAGGAGGCCAAATCTAGCTGATCCATTGGTAGTCTCAGGAGTGGTTAGCAAGAATGTTGTTGTTTTTCCAGTCGAGAGTTCAAGGTAAAGATCCTAAGTGGTATGTGCTTGAGATAGCCTGTATTATTAGATGCTACATG